TCCCTATGAATTCTTTACTTCCTCCCTTAGGGTAGGGGAATTCCGATTGGTTAAGAACGCCAGGTCTTAAAATAACTACGCGCAAATATAGATTATGCCAATTAATTGGCCTTATTAAAAAAAGTTACCAAAAAATGAATAAAGTATTCAAAGCAGAAACGTTGAAATTTTTTACTGCTATCAAATTTGAGGAATTTTGGTACTGTTTACTACTGTTGATGCAGCAATATTTCAGCAGAGATTCCAGAACACAGGATTTCAAGACGAGATTTTTTTTTAAATACTCACACATTTTTATAAAGTGCGATTTTTTCCCCCTCCATGTTGGTTTAATAGCTTAGGAAAGAGAATTAAATTAAACAAAAGCAATAAAAAATTTGTAATTTAGTATTTTTTTAAAAACTATTCATGGATTTTATTTCCTTTGAGTCATAAAAGTTTAAAAGAGAAAGTTTGCTCATTTTATACGAATTAAAAAATAACATTACTTTCGACAACAATGGGCAAAATCCTTTCTTTTTTAAATAATTTATCTGAAAACGAGTCTAACGTGAGCTAACAGGGAAAAAGCTGTTAAAAGAAATAGCCAAATTCCAATTAAATAAAACGGGATTCAAATATAACCGCGTCTGAAGCATTGCCTTAGACATATATGAATGAATGCTTCTGCTTGGACTGAATATTTTGAAAATTCGTCTAAATCGATGAGATAAGAATATTTCCGTGCCCAAAACAAACATTTCCGTCAACAAACCCAAGCACCTGCTCTCTTCCCCACTGCGTAACTGTTAAAGTGAAGAACACAAGCACCAACATTAGAACCATTTTCATTGATAGAAACACAGTCTAAACCCTATTCGATGATACTCCTGATTTAGTGACTGTTTTCACTGCTTCGGCTTGAAACGTATAAAACCAGGACGAAAATTAATCTTTCTTTTAAAATGTATTATTTTTGCTGTTTTACGCTTAAAATATGAAACAGCAGGATAATTACTAGGTACAAATAAGGAGTTTTAGAATTTTATAATGTGCACCATATGCAAAATTGAATTAAAATGATTCCTCCAGTTAACATTTATTTTCAATAGTCCCTTGACAATCGTTATATCTGCATTAAAATAAAGACGATATGTTGTTAACACTCCTTTATAGTACTTATGCACAGCATTTCCCCAACTTTAATAAAGCACTTATTTCCAGTGAAACCTTTCTGAAATAGAAATGCCGTAAATTACCATTAATTTATATGTGAAAAATTTAAAGGGGGAAGAATGACAAATCGTTTCAAACTACTCTTAAAAACCTAAAATACTGCAGAAACAATTAATGCTAAAGTAAATACCATCTAATCTAAAGTAATAAACGGGCAATAAAGTTTTAACTACCAAAACTGAACAGAGATCAAACACATGGGACACTTTAAAGGTGATGGCAATGACGATAGTGCTTTGAGTTGTCGGAGATATGGTAATGAAAAATCAGGACTTAAGAGACTCCTATTTAACCCTGGTGAGAAATATAAGGCCTGCGGTGTAGATAAAAAATGGCAAGGATCAGCTGTCTTATCGTCATCTGGATCGTGTTTTCGATGCCTACTCAACCAAATGCCCCCCCCCCAACGCCGAAATTACCTACCCTTTTTCTGTTATAAACGTTTTGAAGTCGGATAGTACACTCGGCTGTTAAGACAGATACATTTTCCCCCATCGCATAGTTCTTCGCAAGCGATTTAATGGGGCTCATACACCTTAAACCCCTCATGATCTTCGAATATGTGACTGTTGCAAGAATTGGGATATTTTATTTAATTTAAAAGCAATTACTTCTAACCTTTTACAGCTGACTACATAATATAGCTGCTTTGGAAACTAGTAACCAGAAAGTTTGTGTTGCCACAAATATTTTTGTAATTTAATCCTCTTTGTGACAAAATATTTCGCCATGTTTCCACCTTGCGCGCATGATATTTTAAAAATGGCTAATTGTACATACTTGAAATTGGATGGAATTCTTTATATGGGCACTATTTTCTAATTGAACCAAATATCTGATAAATATTTTAATATTGAAAAATTTTATGAACGAAAACATTACAAATTTTTTTAATAAAATACATTTTATAAACTCAATTCCAAATAAAATAAAAATTGAACATGAAATTTTTAGAATTTTAGGTTCACAGTAGTTTCCAAATGTTATAAAAGCTATGTATTAAATATGGCATTAAATTATGCAACAGAATATTTTAAACTGTGCGCGCAAGGTGGAAACATGACGAAAAATGTTGTCACAAAGCGGATTAAATTATAAAAATATTTGTGGCAACACAAACTTTCTGATGACTATTTCAGAAAGCAGCTATATTATGTAGTTAGCTGTAAAAAGTTGGAAGTAATATATTTTTAAAATAAATAAGTTATCCCAATTCTTGCAACAGTCACCTATTCGAAGATCTTATGGGTTTTAAGGTGTATGAGTCCCCTTAAAACCTTGCAAAACCTGGCTTAAGCTCATATGCAATATAATAAGTATTACGCTTTTGCAATGATTGCCCCTCCCCCTCAAATGGCGATCCATACTCTTTGCTTTTCATTTTTCTTCGCAAAAATGAAAACCCCCTTCGTATTCCTTTCGTTAATCAAAGAAAGATACTAATTTAGATTTATCGTGAAATTTCGCATAGAGAATATTCATAAAGTGGTTGAAGAGGAGTTTTTAATATCAAAAAGGGGGGAAAATCTATCGCTCTTATTGCGCGTGCTAGTTCTTACCATTTGAACTTGCCAAATAAAACTTTAAAACTCTTCTGTTTTATACCCAGGCAGATTAAGTAGATTAACAAACAAAAAACGCGAGGTTTTCTCTTCTTTAAGTTACAAAAATTAGCATCGTTCTCGTGATTATATTATTTCACTATTACACATAGTTATAAGTTATCTCATTACAATAAGCCCACATTTAAATACCCTGATTATCAGTTAAAATATTTAACTATCATTATTAACTATTCCTTTCTTTTAAATGCTCAAAAATTCGTATCATTGACAATGGGAGATATAATTTCTTAAAATAGTGTTTAGTTATATGCACTGTATAACTAAACAGCATTTAAGTTTGAACTATTATCACTACTAAATGGCATTTAAGTTTAAACTATTATCGCAATAAAAAAACTGTGAGATAGCAAACATGGCTCCGATAAATATTTTAATAGCCTGTAAATGGAAATAAATTTATAACAGGCACAAACAGAGATTTCAGAGTTCACACTAGAGACAAGAGCAATTAAGCAAGGCCATCCCCACAGCAACTGAAAAAGAGCTGCTTACAAATTCCTCTAATTGCGACCTTAAAAACAGACGGGAAGTTTTAAAATTACGTTGTTACACGTAAAGCCCTCCACTCTTTTTTTTTTTCCCCCTCACTCTAAGTACAATTTGTGATAGAGGAGTAATATTTAAAGAAAAATCAGAATATGCATAAAAGATAATAGTAATCGACAGATTTCTTAAATATTCAGGATATGCAAACTAGTTCGTTAGTCGTACGAATGCAAAGAAAAAAGTGGGGAATGGCAAGATGTGCATAGAGGGTGAAAAAATTTCAAGAACCGTTATCCTTGAACTTGATATACATTTCAACCTGTTATAAGGCTTCGTCCGCGCGTTAACATCATTCTGTTCTATGAAATAAAGAGATTTGCGGTAACGATTTTTAACGACAAAATTTTTTGCGATGTGATGATTTCATTATTTTCATTTTCGAGAAAATTAAAGAATGAGTAAACATTTAGAACAACATAAAAAAGCAGATTGACAAAGACTGCGCATTAAATATTATATCTCGCGAACAATGGACAATTAAAGAGCATTACTCAAAGCAATAAAATCAAACAAAATAAAATATTTTGCTTACCTTTTATCCAACTTCGCAGGCTTTTCTAGTGAAGTTCAGTTGTTCAGAGCTGCGTCTTGTTCTTGTCTTTTAGCCCCGCATTATCACTGCCGCAAATATCGCAGTCGTAAAGCGTAACTATGACTACAGGATTCTTTCAAACACATTGGCAATGATATAGTTGAAAGATTCCAAAAAGAATAACTTACCATTTTGAGCATAAATATCATTTTACACTTGCATTTATTTACAACAACATGATATATCGATGTATAAGATCATTTGTAAGACTCTAATATGTTCCCCTTCACAGCAATGAAATTTTTCATTTGTTGCTTAAAATTAATTCGAAACGCAGAGCATATCGGCAAAGCTTTTCTCGAACAAGTAATAGCGGAGATATTGAGCAACAAAATAGCATTAATTTAAATGGGTTTCTACTGAAATATTTCACAAACTTCATTTTGAATATTTGAATATACAGACTTTGAATATGAAGGCTATCTGATAGCAATAAAATACTGAGAATTACTATGAATGTTTGAAAACAAAATTCATTCGTTATGTACACAGGCCCACAGTTGTAAGTGATTAATGTTGTAATAATTAATGCTGTAATGCTGATTAATGCTGTAAGGCTTTTTTGTAAAATAGTTTCTATGCGTTTTAAAATAGCGACAAATATTTATATAATTATGATTAATACAACTAGTTTAATTATCATATGTAACAAACTATGTCTTTCCGTCATTACAAACTTAAGGGCCACTCCATTTTAAGTAGCAGGCGAAGGAAAAAAATATTGTTAAATTTCTTTCTGAAGCGTTAAGATTTTAAAAAATATTTGAAACGAATGTTTGATGAGCATTCACCTCTTTTAACATGAACCTGAAACAAGAAGTAATTTTCTCTTTCTACAAAAAATTTCTTTAAAAAGAATAATAACAGTAAATTATAGTTTTTCTAGCCTATTTATAAGCTATTTTCATTTAAATAAATAACGTTTAAAATATTATAAAACTTCATATCACACAACTGTAACAATAACAAACTGAAATTTTTGTTTCAATAATCAACAAGAAAACAGTTAAAAGATTACTCACCAAAGAAACAATGGCCGGCTGCATGAAGTATTCCTTTTGATGGGTATCCATAGGAGGAATGAATTCATCCTTCATGTGGTCACCAGAATCATTGACACAATTAAGCTCTTTCACTTTAACTGTCGTGCTTTTGATTTTCAGATGTCTAATGAAAGGTGGAATAGCATTCCGGCTGTACAATCGAGAAAAACAAATTCTAGCTAAGAGGTCACCTCTTGGCTCTTCTATTACACATTCTCCACTTCTGCTTAAGGGAAATTTCCACAAGAGCGAAACTGAGCGCCGAAGTGAAGCTGAACATGAACAATTTCTTTTCGAGTTAGAAATAAACTTTGTAACTGATGGTGCAACTGGTAATCGCTCTTCTGTATGTACATTTAAGGGCGATTCAAATTTACCTGATAACTTTGTTACTCTAGCAGTCAACTCACTATAGGACAAACTCTTACGAAGCGATCCGTATTTAATATTCTCAATCTTTCTTTTACTTCCTGTATTCAATTTACAATCGACCACAGGAGAAGATTCCGAATTGGCTTTAAAAGAAACTGGAGCAGTTAACTCTTTCGATTTTTTCTTCAGGGAATGTAAAGACAGTGCCCTAGTCAAATGTTTAATGTTTAATAATTTTTTGGATAATCCAGATCGTTCACACTTAGACGTGTCAGTTAATTCAGAATTATCAAAGTGAATTTCGCTGGTAAATGGTAAAAACTTATCTTGATCTGATGAATCGCTAGCAGCCTTTCTTTTGCCCTCTTCACTTGAATCTGTTTCCGAAACACTGCCAGAAATTTTGCAGAAACTTTTATTTTGTCCTCGGACAAATTTGTCAAGAGTTTCTCTTTCATAGTTTGATTTATTATTCTTTGTGATTAAGGATGCACTTTTCTGAGCCAGAATAACTTCCGATTCATATATGTTCTTACCTTTTTCCGATTTTAAAGATTCAGTATCAACATCGATGTCCACATTATTACTAGAATGACAATCTTTTTTAATTTTACTCTGAAATCTATTACTCCACGATACAATATATCCGTCAGCCTGATTCCGGCCAGAATTACGGTTTTTTTTAAATAACTCTGTCTCCTGAGCCGGTGAACCTTGACGTGCTTTCCTGCGGGATGACCCTCTGTTGCTGCAGCTACTAGATGCCCTTTTAATGAACAAGCCTTTATAATGGTGATCGTTAGAAACACTGTCACTACTATTTGGTACTGCATTCAGTTGTAACGTTGAATGGTTAATAGAACAGTTATTCTTGCTTATTGTACTACAGTTTGTAGATACTTCTCCTTCTCTCACATTTGACAAGGATAAAGATCGTCTTGATTTTCGATTATTATGTTTAGGGTCACTAACAGTACAACTCGAACTTTTGTCATTGTCGGTAAAATGTGATGGCATATCGCCGATAAAAAACACAGGTTTCCTTTTATCTTTCTGCTTCTGAATCCAGCTGGTCACTTTATTCGTAACACTTACTTGCGGTAATCTAGTATCGTTTATTTTGCCAAAACTGTTACCATGTACTAGATCGGCCATTTCACGCGCAGTAAGCATTGTGCACCTTCTAGTTGCAAAAGTATTGTCATATTTGGAAGCATTGTCACTTTTTTTCGATACCAAAGGTTTAATGTATGGGGGTGTATTTGAATCACTTTCATAGACTACTAGAGGCGCTCTTTTTAAAAGAGATATATGATCTGGCACACTAGAATTTTTAGGTTGAGGTTTCGATTGTTTTGTTCGTAATGCTGGTTGTTTAGATGGAGGACCACGACTTGCGGATTGTGCACAGTCAACACATAGCTTTGATTTGATGTCTTTCATTTGTGCAGAAAGATGAGCAAATTCTTTCGCTTCCTCTGTGAAAATATCTGATTGCTCAGATTTCACTGAAGGCTTTTGAATATTGCTCATTGGTTGTGAAGTTTGAAAAGCTTTTGTCCGTGAGCTAGTTGTCCGAAATTTACTATCAGCTTGGTAATTTTCTTCCCCTGTGCAGTGTTCATTTATTTCATGTTTATCAAAAAACGATGAATCTGTATCTTTACTATAAGTATTAGTTAGCCGTGAGATTTCAGCAGAAGTATCACTTCCGGAACTCTGAACTTCTATGCAATCATTATTACACGTATCAGTTTTCCTAAAAATTTGATTCTTTTCACTATTATATTTACAAAATTGAAGCTTGGAAGAAGTACCTTTCAATGCTATATTCGATATATGCACACTACTGTGATTGTGATGCGTAGACAAAGGCGCTATGAAATGAAGATTTTTTCGATGAGAGTCACTTTCAACATGCACTTCATGTAAATACGAAGTACTGCTAGCAATTCGAGGGCAATATAAATTGTTTTGAACATACAGTGTTCGGATGGGCGAATGAACATGGTTCTGATCATGAGGAGAAACGTATCTAGTCAGTTGAACATTTTTAGTTCCAGATAATGAATCAAGTTTCGAATGAGTCTCACGTCTAAGATTCACAGTCTCAGCATACTTTTCGGCAAGTTTGCGAACGGAATCTCTCATTGCTCTAGAATTATACCTACCCCAAGAGGCATTGGGATCCTGCTCAATACTTTGATTTTTACAAAACTTATTCTGGCTATCAACAAGAGATGAAGTATCTGAGCAGTCTAAATTTAAATTGCCATCGGGAAGAGTTTTTCTTCTGTTTCTAGGCCGATCTTGAGATGGCCCTTTAGGTGTTCGAGATGACTCAGATCTTAACATACATGATTTGGTTTTTTGTGCCATTCGAATTTGTTCTTTTGTAGACGAAGCGCACGATAAGGAAGTATTTGAAGAAAACTTCTCCCCGCGATTACAGTATGAAGCAGTTTTAGATTTAAAACATGCTGTAGGTATTTGATCAAAATTATTTGATTTAGGGGTTATGCAGGTAGACGATTGACTATTTGGACGATATAATACATCATTATTAATCTTAAAAGATTCATTCAAACTCGATGACGTTGACAGCAAACTTTCGCATTCTGAAGTATCATATTCAGAGCCATGTTTCATGAAACAAGAATCTTTTTCATCCCAAGGGGAAGAACAATGTTTTGGAACATGATGGTAGTTACTGTCCAGCTCGGGAATCTTAGATTGACAGTTACCGACATCATTCGTTATCATATCACAACTATAACAATCAGTATGCGCGAATGACTGAGTACTTTCACAACTAGCATTTTCAGCACTGCAAAAACCATTGTCACTTTGTTTCGGTGGTGCGTTATCTAATCCAATGGCTGGACTTCGATAACCCTCTAATTCCATAATCTGAGCCCAAGCACTGCTTGAAGCTTTCTCTTTCTTACTTGATGATGAACTCTCGGTAGAAATTGTCGATGAAGATGATGAACTGACAGGCGTGGCAGATAGCCTGTCCTTTTTACTGCCGAAATCAAACTGTACATCATCATCTGATGATGCAGTAGTCGCTTTTGATGGTTTATATCGAACAAGAATTGTGTTCGTACTCCTTTTACCATTTACGACATTAGATTTAAAAGTAGTTGTCGTGGAACAAGTTTCTTTTTTTTCAGGAACCCTGTCAAAAGCAGAATCCTCTCCTCTGACTACGAATACCTTACTTCTGTATGCCACACTGCTTTCTTTCGAACTCGCAGGTGGTTTTGCATAAGCATTTTGACTTGCCCGCAGGTCAAAGGACAAGGTTTCTTGTGTCGTTACGTGATCCAACGACACGTTCACGGCCGCATTTGTCATAGAACATCTTTCTTCTACCATGACCTGCTGGTTTGCATTATTCTGGATAAGTAAACTCTGTGAACTACACCTTCCGCTACGCGAACGGTCTCGCGTAAATTCAGCACTACTACCGCCAGCCACACATAATAACATTCTGAAACAAGCATTGAATGATATCTAAGCCCTTGCTGGATATAGGGTTATTATTAATTCTTTACGCTGAATTTATTTCTCAGTTCATCTCAACAAAACTAAAATCAGAATATTAAAACTTGAGCAGTTGCAAAAAGTGCATTTTAATTAAGTCAGAAACGAAATTCCTTTCACATCATGCACAACCACATTGGATTTATGATGGGTCTCATCGATATATTTAAGAAGGCGCAAATTTTTAAGACACAATGCATAAATGAAAAACATTATCACTTCTGCTCTTAATAATCATTACATATGCTATTTTAAGAAAATTCAAGAACAGTTCTAAAAAGTTAATTTTTCAAAGTCAACAAAATATTGTACCAAAAAAAAAAAAAAATCTTTGCAAATTCCTTATAATAAAATTAAAATATCCAACAAAGAGCAAATCATTAGTCTGATTAAGATATATTTAATGAAATACGAAAGTAGAATTCAAATAGGTTTTCAGTAAAATTTTCAGTCAGTTTAAAATAAAAAGAAAATGCTGACAATAAACATTTCTCTCAGTAGTGAAGCCAATAGCGTATTTTTCCAATAAATATTTATCAAATGATTAACAGTTCTGCAGTTAAATGAATTGAAATAAGTTACCAAAAAGTAATAGCAATGCTTTGATAATGAAATATCATACAAGATGACTAACAGTTCACAAAATCAAGAGAGCAACAGATTACAATAGTTTTAGAGGAAATTATTTATATTTAAAAGAAAGAAATATTGTAGACTTACTGACCGTTGCTGATTTACCGTTGAAGCCTTACCGATTGTACAAGCACAGTGTATTATTCCTCAGAATATCACTTCAACATAATACGCCGTGTGTCACAATATTAATACAAACATTTTCTGACTATGAAAATCACAATTTCGCACATTACTTGCACCATATCTCTAATAGGAAAATGCAGCTTATTGATAATCCACATCATGTAATTTCAGAAATAAAAACAATCACATGCATTTGTTATATGTACTGGTTGCACCACCGCAATCACAATGGCAGCGAAGCACGAAAGAGAAACCAGCTCCGCGAGGAAAAAACACACACCGTTCCGACTGAACGAGCTATTGAGTTCTGAAACCTTACAAGTCTATCAAAGCTGGCCGCACCTGCATATACAGACATTTACGCACGCACACACACACAAACACGAGTTTATGATATTCCCGTAAGGTCGAGTCTTCTAGCTAACCTCCGCGATTCAGGTTCGAGCCGGCTTTCCCGCAAGGCAATAACGCAATTTTTTTCCCCCTGCTGAAAAAACTTCTCCGAGACCAGTTCAACCACCGTGTCAGTAGCGGATAAATTAGAAAATTTACTTGGTGAAAGTCCGTCGAATACTGAAGTTCATGTTCGCCTAATGCGGCAACAGCAGGGCACCTGAGTGCCGTGTAAGCCACGTGCAGAGCAAACTGACTAACTGAAAGAGCAAATCCATTCGGTCGGTTTTCGGAGCCGTACTCGCCGCAGTCGGTAGAGAAGGTCCACTTGCTACACTGTCTGTTGTTCCCGGGTCAAGGCCAGTACGCGCACAAAAACATGGAGGGGTCTCGAGCCCCTCACGATGTTTTGATGCGCTGGGGAAATCTGGTGAAGAATACTTTTTGGAATTCAGTATTCAGGTATGTGCGGGGGGGTGTCAAATGAAGCAGAGTTTGAATTTTCTATAGGCTGCATCTATAAAACTTTTTAATACGCATTAACAGATATTTACAATTTTTTTGAACTACAGAGGTATAATGTGTATTTATCTACAACATATTTTAAAGTCAAATTTGTAACAAATTTTATAATGAAAGTATTTTAAAAGGTAAATATTTAAAATGAATATATTACATAACTATCAAAAATAAAGCAACCTCGTCGGAAGAATAATTCACATATAAAACACTTCCGATTCCATTAATTTGTATGGAACTTAAAAATTTTCGACGAATCGAAATTTCCTAAATGGAATTATCGTTAATAAACCATAAACGTTTCCGGATCAAAGCGAAAGCTCGAAAAATGTTTTAACAAAATTGGAAGTTGGTAAAAAAGCAATGTTTTTAAAAACAATTACTTGTTTCGTTTATCTCATAAGTAGTAACTCTAAAAAATATTATTCCAGGCATTTATATTTAATTAAAACAAGAACTTTTTTTTTTTTTTTACTAAGGTTTTTGGGAGGAGTTTAATTATCATATTTTACAGAATAATTACAATGGGGGGTAAAAATTAGGCGGGTCACTATTTTTCCTCATTTTTTGTTCTGTACTACAGTATTAATTAGGTAACTTGTCTTTCAGTCTAATTAGAAACATGTGAATTCTAATCAGAATCACGCTTTCGTCAAATATTCACCTAAATTCTTATTTCTTAAAATTTATCCTGAAATATCTACCCTTCGGTTCGTGAAGTCCACAGTTCTTTAATATAAAAAAATGATTTACGTGGTATTCAAACATCCGTTAGGATGTGTGAACTAACTTTATTTAGAAGAGAGTAAAAAATACGTAAGTCTATCTTAGAAATACTTTAACCAATTTTCCACGAAATTCTACCAAATAGTAGTCTCAATGTTCGAATTTGAATGTTACATAATGCATTGAATAGTGCTGCCATCTATGAGAGAAGTGTCAAAGCAATCACTACGCTTGTCTTATGAGATTTTGAAGTGACTCGATATTCCAGCAATGTTAACATTATTCAACAATATCAAAAATATGTGCATTTCATCTAAAATAAGTACGGCAAGGCAGGTAGAAATAATTTCAAAAAGTTCCGGGAAAGGCAATTTAAGTAGAAAGCTAGCGAAATATTTACAGCAATACAGTGCTTAAATTGCGCCGGAGCCGCTTCTCAATTTTTGAAATAAATTACAATTTTAACCGGAGCGCACCGGAGCCCTAAATAAGATGAGCTCCGGTACTTCTTTTTATAAAACTGAACCACAATTTAAAGGGAAAAATTTAGAATTCCTAACATTTTGGTTTAACAATAAGCAGACTTTGCAATACTATATTTCCCTAGAAATACGAACTCATGAGAACATGAGACGTTCAAGTAAAGTCCTCTCACTCACATGCGGAAACCTTTCCCGTCTAAGAAGGGCAATAAATTTGGATGAAGTTTGTTTAGTAACGCGTAAATTTCTCGCCATGCCATTGTATCTAGTGTATTGCTATCGATGGCTTACAGTTAGTTATTCCTCGTAGGAAGGAAAATTTGTGTTCTTAAATGTGCGTTAAGTGACACCGAGTACAATAAGAGTGAATACTGAGATAACCTGCTCTATAGCACCGTCTTCCCTATACATTGTATCCACTAAAGTAACCACTTAATACGGAAGGGGCGAAAAGCGTAACCAGCAACTTTACATTCATCCTTAGGAATCAGATTTAGGACTCATTTATACCCCTGACACACATCCTGCTTGATGGCTAATAATTATATCAGCAGAGAGCCGCGGTCAAAGACAACGTTCTCTCTCACCAAGATTCCCCTCATTTTTTGTTTCCACCCACTCATACCCTTATTCTGTTTCGCCCCGGAATTTTCGTCAGCTATACTTTAAGTATATTTAATTTTATGATGATAAAAGAACTCCCCCCCTACGATCAGAGCTCAAATTGTGCCGGAGCCCCCCGGATTTCGTCTCACGCGCTTCTTCATTTTTGTAATAAATCATAATTCTAGCCGGAACGCACCGGAGCCCTGAATAAGAAGGCTGCGGCACTTCTTTTATGTAATTGAATAACAATTTCAGTAGAAATTTTATCTCGAAAATTTTATTTAACAATAAATTATATTAAAAATCGCGTATTAATTTCAATTTTATCTCTTTACATTTTATTTAATTTTAATTACTTCAATCTTTAATAATTTCAATAAATTCCGAGTTAATTATCTAATAATTATCAATTAAATTTTAATTAATTATATAATAATTATTCATTAAATAACAATTTATAAACATTGATTAATAGCTATTAATAAATAAATAAAATGACTATCATTTTATTTATTTATTTACTGTTGTTCCTCTTTGCTGACGGTCTTCCATAAGGCTCCAGTACTTCTCATCTTAGAAATTAAGCCCTGCAGCAATACACTTAATGGTTTAAAACAGCCACGTTGTAAAACTGAACAATAAACATGAAGAAACGAAATGAAACTACGACTCTCCTATGACACAAATACAATAGAATTTGATACTAAATTGGGCATTCTGCTTCAAAGATGAAAACTCCATTTTTGTTGTGCCAAAGATCCACCAATATCACTACATATCAGATTTCAAATGTATACTTTTTTAAATAAATGCTTATTATACTTAACCGAAAGTTAATCGCCTGAAACCTCGAAGAAGTGAATGCTCATTTTCGCTTTCTAACAAATCAATCATGACAATTTTATGTATATATCTCTACAAATTATTTCGAATATTTTAATATCAATCACATTAAAATTATTATAAAAATATTTTTCGTATGCTACAAAATGGAGCTCGGCTTTAAAGTGCGGACAAATATTTCAATTAAAATTTAATTTACTGTCTTAAAACGTTTTATGAATTTTAACGGAAAATCAGCCATTTAAGTTGATATTATGTAACGCGTTTTCTCGCGAAAATGTGTGTAATGAGAGATATCTCTTGAAAACAAATCAGAGTCTTACAAAGTCCCAGAATAGTAGATCACGAATCATGTCACCTTACACAGGGTGTACCGTAAATGTTGCGACAAACTTCTAGAGAAGGTAGGGCACATCATAAGGATTAAGAATTGCATAAGATCCCATGCCCGGAAATGTCAGGGTAAGTGGTAGCAGAGGTAGAAGATGGGAAAAGAAACGAGAGAGATTAATTTGAAACATTTATTGGATATGAATACAAATAGTGTACGACAGCTTGAATGTTTGGCGTCTGATGGTGCAAACTTCGAGCATCTGTTGTAAGATTCAAACTGTCGTACACCATTTGTATTCATGTCCAATAAATGTTTCAAATTAATCACTCTTGCTTTTTTTCCCATCTTCTACCTCTGCAACCACTTACCCCTGACATTTCCAGGTATAGTTTCCTATGCAATTCTTAATCCTTATGATGTGTTCTACCTCGAAGTTTGTCGCAACATTTACGGTACACCCTGTATATACATATATATAATTCACCAACAATAGCCACTTACTATATCTAATTCGTCGTAAGAGTCGCCCTCCTCAGGATCCTCTCCTTCGTAGTCTTCCTGAGCGTTGTCATCAGAGAAATCCACACGAGTCCCATTAAGGGTTGGCCCGGGATCAATCGGACTGGTGGGGATTTTTTTGAAGACCAAGTGCTCTATGTTACTGGGAGGGACTGCCCACTTCTTTTGCTTCTTCTTTTTCCGTTTCTTTGTGCTCTCCACCAGAGACATTAGCTTGTTCCGATGCTTTGCTATGCTCCGGACAGCAAGATTATCCAGCATATTTGCCATGGAAATCAACACTTAATCACGCCCCTACAGACAAAATATATATATAATTATCAAATACTTAAAGACAGAATTAATATTAAAACTTTTCACAAAAAGAATAAAAGTACAGACGACTGAAATATAACAAACATGGAACTAACGAAATAGTTAAAGTAACAGCGGTTAAAACTGCTCAGTATTTTTTCTCGAAAGGCGGATGATTTGTGTTTAAAATTACTACCAAGCGCAAAAAATAACACTGCACATCAGATATGAAACATACTCCTATGTGTTGCCGTTCTTACAGTAAAAAATAAAATGAATTTGTTGGCTCACGTGCGAAATGCGTATCGAAAGCATAATGTGTCAGCCATTTAAATGGCCTTTAAAAAAGTTTATATCTCCATATCTACAGCGAAAATTCTTTATAAAATGCTTAAAATGCAACGCAATTTAAAAATATATTTACGTATATATCGCTTAAATTATTATTTATTTATTTTGAGTTTGAGGTGGGGAAAACTGTTAGACGAAGCGGTGTAGTGTGCGATTCCTCGTATCTCAAATCTTACTCTCATCTCAAAGCAAAATATCGCTCGCTCGACGGCTCGTATCTCAAAACACTCGTATATCGAGGTACCACTATAGTTTGTATTCAAATTGTACGCGGGGAAAAACATGAAAACCATCTAATACTAACCCATTCAAACAGCCATAAGCAGAGCCCAAAGAAAAGTACGTTTTCTGTGGCTTTAGTCACATGACCAATGGTAAGTCGATTACATTACAAAATCTGACATGAAGTCCACCTAAATCGTTAATCTAAAGAACACTGTCCATAAATTATTATTTATTATATTAATGGAGTTTTCAAAAGTTACAATTTGCTAGAATTCTGTAAATTTTGATTTGAAGTGTATTTACGTAACTAAAAGTTGATTCTTTAGTATGGGTTACACAACAGATGTATCTAGTAAAA